CGCGGCCCCCGGCTGCAGCTGCAAGGCCGCTCGGCAGGGCGCGGGGGTCGCCGGCCGGCCTTGGTCAGCAGCAGCAGCAGCAGCAGCAGCAGCAGGAGCAGCGCTCTGGGGACGGGGGCTCGCTTCTCGGGGCGCGCTCCGTGGCCGCCCCCTTCAGGGGGGGTCGTGGCCGCCCCCCAGCCCCGGCGCGTTCCGCTCGCTCCAGCGGGGCTCACCCGGCGGGGCGCGGGCCTGCGCTGCGGGCTCTTTGGCGGGGCGCGCCGGCTCCCGCTCCTCCTGCTGTCCTCGGGCGAGTGCGGACTCTGCCCGGGCGCGGGGCTCAGTCCACCTGCTAAGTGAAGATTTCACGGCAGACAACAAAGAAAGCAGCCGTTCCTTTCTTCCTTAACCAAATTATGGATGACCAGCAACCGGACCGCTCCTTCCCTTGCCCGCTCTCTTCTCTTCTCCTCAGGAACACATTTCACTGGTTTTCCTTTAGAGTAGTAAAACTTTTTTCGGCCTTGAAGGCGTGGTGATGCTGGCTGCTCGCGTGTGCGGAGAGGAGAGGCGGGCTCCTGCTCTCCTCCTCTGGTCCTTTCGTTTCAAGTTTTGTTCTGTCCTAGGAAAACTTCTTGCGATGGTGCATTTCTCTGAAGTTGCTATTGCCGGAGCTCTTGGTTGCCTCTGAAACAAGAGTCCTTTTTCATTCTCCTCGCAACAGTCACAGTCTGATGCGACATCTTTCCTTTTGGGCAGAAATTAGGAAACAAATATAACAAGGAAAAAATTGAACAGGAGAAAAATGAGGTCGAATGGCTCTGTTACCTTGTTGCTGACGGTTGGGGTTGGTGTTTTATTTTTTTCCCAGCAGTTGTCTGGAGGAGGAGGAGGAAGAAGAGTGCATTGGTGGAGGTGGAGGTGTGTGTGTGCATATAGGGGATCCTTGGTACACAACCAACTCCAGCGGGCACGTTGCACGGCTCGTAGAGTGCACCGACGGCGCTGGCGCTGGCCGAGCCGGAGCGGAGTTGCAGCGGGAGCTCGCTCTGCGCCCTCGTTCGCGCTCTCTCTCCCTCTCTCACTTTCCCTCTCCCTCCCTCTCTCTCTCTCCCTCTCCCTCTCTCGCCCGCCTGCTCTCGCTGGGATCTGACAGTTCGCTCTCTGTCCCTCCCTCTCAGAGCAGGGACTGTCGAATGTTTACCCTCCGCCGCGAGCGCGCACCCACCACCACACTTTCCCAAATACAAGGAAGTCGAGCACCAGGGCCCCCGCTGATTGGCTACCCGCTGGGTGATTGGCAGGCCCAGAATGACTGGCTCAGGACGCGCGGCCCCCCTTCCGGCCGTTCCGATTGGTTGCTTTTTAATTTAGGCAGAGCGTCGTAGAAGCTGGAAATCTGTCGTCCCCCCCACCCCCGCCCAGCTTCCCTCCCCCTCGCCACTTTCTCCTCTCCGCCCCTCCCCCGCCACCCCCTCCGCCACATCTTAACTCTTAGTGTCCGGCCGAGAGGTTGGCGTTCTTTCCGCGGCTCAGGGCGTTCGTTACCAGTCTGGGGGGGGGGGGATGAAAGGGGAGAGAAAAGGGAGGGAGGGATGGGAGAAAGGGGGGGGAGTTACAATCAGAAGGAAAATGAAGAGGAGAAAAAAAAATCATGAAAAATAGCAACCTACCCACTTCACCTAGTACTGCGTTGTGTTGCCGTCCTCCCCGCCCCCCACCCCCATCCCAGAGATTTGTAAAGCGCGCGGCATGGATGCACCGTTCACGCTAATACCTATAGGCTGATGTATCCCCAGTGGTTTCAAAGTTTCCTTTTTCCTTCACGAGCCGGCCCCCGTCTCTGTCTCGGCGGGGGTGGAAAGGGAGAGCTCGCATCGCCAAGGGCTCGGGTCGTGGCCGCGCTCCTTGGAAATCCGCCGCCGCAACTTTCCGCAGCCGCTTTGCGCCGGCGGCGTCCCCCTTTGTTTAAGTTCTCGGATGCCATCATCTAGGAAACCTGCAGCCCAGGACCAGCGCGGTGCCCGCGCGTGCGAGACGGACCGCTAGCTGCCGCGGCTCGCTCTCTCCCCCACCCCCTCTCTGCCTCTCCGCTCTCCCTCCCTTCTTCCCTCCCCCCTCCTCTGGGAGTCAAGCAAGTAGCGAGCGTGTCCTTGTGTGTTTGGAGGGTGCCGGTCAGCAGAGCCCTGCGATGTATTTGAAAAGCAATCAGCTCGACCTTTCCCCATAGATCCATCGTAAGTGTATTCCACCCCAATGGCTCCGGGAATTCCCACTGCAGCAGGAGCCGGCCTAAAGAACCGGGATCCACTAGCCGCGCCCTCCACCGCTTACATTGTGCGTGTGTGTGCATGTGTGTGTGTGTGTATTTTTTTCCCCCCTCTGTGGTTATTAGTGGTGTTTTGCTTGCTCGCTATTCTTAGACACAGTGGTGCTTTTTCTTTCTTTTCTGTTTCAGATGGGTTTGCGTAGTGGATGGGCTGGCGGCGACAAACGCTTTCTCAGCCCCAGCCAGGCTGAAAGAGTTAAGGGGGACGGGAGGGGGCGCGCGGAGGGTAGGCGGGAGAAGCGGGGGTGGGGGGACGCGGCCAAGCGGAAACGCTGCACAGAGGAACCTCAGCGAACCAAGAAAAAAGAGAAAGTGGCAACGAAAACAAGGGCAAATTGAACCCTCCTTGGGGATTTCCAATGAACTAACCCAACTCGGACATTCAATAAATACATCGTTCCTAATGAGTGTGCGTGGGCGTGCGCCCCGCACCCCTGGCTGCGGGTGCACCAGCCCTGCGCCGGTCGCCCCCAGCCTGCTCCTGAAGCCGGCAGTCCTGAGCTCCAGCGGCGCCGCGGCGGCCCTGGAGGTAGATGCGGAGCCGCCGGTGTGCTCCGATTAAGCTGTGAACGGGGCTGCCCTCTCCCGATGAATAATTCCTCTGGCTGAACGCAGTTAGGTGAACTCAGTTAAAGCTAGAGCTCTCCAGCCCAGCCGCAAGCTACGCCTTTGCGTGATCTCAAGATTAACAGTAGACGCGTAGGATTTCTGTAGGATCTCGTCCAGCTCCTGATTGCCGGGTGAGAGATACCGCCGTAGGTAGGTTTTTAGCAAAGCCATTATTGCTAAGGTACAGATCTGAAAGGCAGCGGTAACCAAACCCCAAACACAACGGATTTTCCCCCCTCTACGTCCCCCTAACGTTCCTTTTTTATATTTATGTATGTGTATATGTATATATAAAAGATGGAACACAGATTTCATTGAATAAATCTGAGATCTCCAGGTGCAGACGTTTGAATAGTCGGTGCCAGCACCCCGTGTTTTCCTTTCCTGCCGATTTTGCTTGGATCCGGCTCAAAAACCGAGAGAGTCTCGTGGTTCTGTTTACACTGAATGGGGAGGATAGGAACAGAGCCATGGGGCCGCCTTTCATTAATATACAGTGAGGATTTTGTCTAAATTACTGCTATGAATTTCACAGTACACGCTTTCAAAGGCAGTCTCAGGTGGCCTGATGAAACGTGATAGCGCCTCTGCAAACAGATCCACTTTCTTTCTTTTCAAGGAGGGTGTGTGTGCATATGGGAAGCCCCCCAAAACGCTGTGCTCCTCGATAACAGAAATACACTTCTGTTCCGAGGTCTGTCCCCTTCGTCCTCCCCCCTTTCCGCGTACTTAGTTCTCCCGAGCTCCCCAGCCTCCCCCCCCAGCCCCACCCCATCCGCCCCCTCCCTTTGCCGAGTGTGATTGTTTTGTCTGGAAAAAAAATCCAAAGTATATAACAAGGGGAGAACAGTTAGTGCTGATTTTCATTTGCATACATTTTCATATATTTTGGTGAAAATAATAGACTGGTGGAGAGCTGGGTTTAGAGGAGTCAGTGTAAAGGGAAGACTAAGGATGCATCGGTTCTGGGGAGTTGAGAATATGCCTCCCCCCCTCCCATGCACCTTTAAAAAAATAATAAAACATCTTCTTTTATTTTAAAATCTAACCCTGGAAGTTTGCTCGGTAAGTCCTTTTCATTTTCTTTACCTGTTTTCTCTCTTACTCCCCCTCTTTTCCGGGTTATTTATGCTCTTGTAGGTTTGGGAGCTTATTTTCATTGCTTGGGACTAGAGAGGGTTCACAGAGCAACTGTTTTGAAGGAAGGAAGGGAAAGTGTGCTGGGGGAGCGTAAAAAAACTCAACCCTGCTAAAATATTACATAAAAAGATGGACTCATTCCAAAGCTCCCCACTGTGAGGCATTTCACTTTTTTGGGGGTGGGGGAGGAGAGTGCTATTAATTTTAATTGTTGATTGTGTGTGGGGGGGAAGCCCTAGAAAAAATGATTATAAAGCACGCCATATTATACATATTTCTTGCTTTGGGGTTTTTTTCCTAGCGAATCAGAACTGGAGGGGAAGATACCCCCTTTCTGTAGCCAGGGCTGATGTGGTGACCCGTGTGTGCTTGTCTGGGATTGTGGTGGGGGGATTCCTGCTGGGAGCAGGGGGATGGGGGGAGGGCTTGGCAAAGGGAGGGCAGAGAGCCACAGTGGAAGGAAGCAGGGGAGGAAGAGGAGGCAGGAAGTCAGTGCACCCCTGGTTAACGCCGAGTCTGGGGAGCAGTCTTAGTTGCTGCCTTCCAGCTCGGTAGTGAAAGTCCATCAGAAAAGAGGGTGATCAATCAAAACTAACCAGGACATCCTACACTTTATTCCAAAGGAAGCGGGACCTTTATTATTGAAAACTAGATTTTACTTTGTTTTCCATTTTGACACCCAGCTTTGTACCCCCCCTTGCCACTGTCCCTGGGTTTTGTAAAAATCGAGGGGGAACTTACTTGTGAGGTGCAGTTAATTAGATAA